AAAATTTTTTTCAAAAAAAAAAAAAAAAAAAAAAAATACTTTTATCACTAACGATTGTAAACCTTTTAAGAAGTTTTATACATAATCGCATTGTTTATTACGTTTAATTGTGTTTCGCGGAAGCTCCTAAACGAATACTAAAAAACAGCGGCCGGTCGGGCCGGATAGTTGTACAATATGAAATACCGTTAATAATTTATGGATCCCAGTACAATAATAAACTGCAAGTGCTGCGATCGTGCGAGTGGTAAATGTGCGCGTGGCGGTCTCGGCCTGTTGGATTGTAAACGCGATTATTACAAGCACTTTCTTAAGCCTCTCCTGACGGGCCTACTCATAATATTAAAAAAAAGTGTATAAAATAATATACGCCACCCACCAGCACTGCGCTTAAACACACACGGGATCTCTCGCGCCTATATTACAACCGAGAATTTAGCAGAGGAGGATGAAGAAGAACTCGAATGTAGGTCTTCTCGTGAGTGTACTATAGCTAGACACTCCGTATTGATGTTATATTGCAATATTTTTTTTTTACTTTAGATTCTCCTCTTCTCTTCGCGACATCCGACCGATCAGCGTGGTGCAATCGCGCGTCTAATTCATGTTCCCCATTATGGTAACTCGCCGCCAGTGTAGGCAGGTATTATAAAACAGGCGTGCGTTTATGAGTTGATGATTATATATTTTTTTTTTTGTTTTCCAAACGGACCTCCGCCGAAATCTAAAGAATTCATTATCGCAGTGGTCACATAGTGATACTCGCGCGTGTTCTTCTGTGTAACTGTGAAATAGATATCTAAAAAGCTTAGCGACCAACTGATCGTACGCCTAAGATTCTCACGACAATGACCATCAGCCTTGACCTACAGTAACATTGTCCGCAGAGAAAAAAAAACATCTTGTTCGTTATACAATTAAATTGCCATCACGGTAATCGCGCATCGTATAACCATAAATCGTCTAGAGTTTGGGTGATCTCGCGTGTCCAACGATCGATTCTTTACCATCCCGAGTAGTACAATGTAGCACATTCAAATTTAATATGTGCAAATTCATTACATTACAGTTATTATTGGTGTTTGCCTATAACAATTATTATTCTCGGCCGTCTTACAACCGCATAGATGTAGTTGGAAACTGGCTGATTTAAATATTTATCAATTTATTTGGTCGGTCGACTCGACCTGGACAGGTTTTAAGCGAAGAAAATACAATTAATATTACCGAGGAGATTACCGCTGTGTGTTAACGGCATTCTGGCACGTATAAAGTCAAATTTCTGACTCGAGTAAAATTAAAAGCAAAAACCTTATTTGATAACGCTACGGATTTTCACACATTTTTCGCCGTTAAGTTTCATCATGAATATTAATAATAAGATTCGGCCATATTAATTGACATGTGTAATTAAATGCAATAGCGAACGCTACAAGTATTCAATATCGATAAAACTGTAATAGTCATCATTAATAATTGAACGGATGATGTTCACAAATTATTCTTAGACACAAATAACTGTTTATACGAAATTTTAAAATAACTTTAGGTAGTCACCGAGTAAACAAAAAAAAAAAAACAATTCCCTGACATGTTTTGCTATAACACACAGAGATGATTCAGTTACGCAATAAAATAAAATAAAGTGTTAGGCTTCAGTTCGAAAAACTGTAGTTTTTTTTGAGTTTTTCAAAAAAATATTATTACGGTAATTTATACGTAATCCCAAAATCTAAAGAATAATGAACAGTGCATTTAAAAACAAAACGTAATAGCCGTGGATTTAGATAAAGTAGGAATATCTATAGTGGTTTTTGACCCGAGCGTTGCTAAATTTATAAATAATAATAACCTGTCTAAAAAAATCAAAACAATTGGGTCACCGTGACGATTATTGTGTGTAAATTGGCATTGCTAAATTTGGTATTCTTAATATCGGGCTGGCAATAGTAGTAAATAATAGTACTCAATGTCTAATAAAGAAATTTACAAGTAAAACAATTACACGAATTATGAATAGTCCGTGATGGTAGATTAACACAGAAAAATCATCAGCGATATCTTTTTTTTACGCGTAATGCACTCCGCAATATCGGTAGAATCTGTAAACAAAAAATGGACAATCTGTTAAAGTATAAGTGCTGTCATGCTGGTTAATTTTGTTTTTAAGCTTTTGTAATCCACCGTCGATTAGCGATTTTACAATGCAAAATTATCGTACCACTACAGACATATTTTATTAATAGTTGTCGAGTATCATCCCAGTGAAATGACTCATAAAAAAATCGTTAGACAAAAACGGTACTTTGGGAACGGTAAAGATTATAACATGTGTTGAAAACTCAACATTGTCTGTGTTATGATAGCTATCCAAAAATATTCTAGTCTTTGTAGTTCAGCGCGGTGCATTATCTTACCCTAATAATCAAAATAACATTTACGTTGGCTATCCGTGTCGAACGACATGAAGACAGGCGGTTAAATTTTCATTTTATTTTCCTCTTAAAAACGCCCACGCAGACACGACGGACACATTACAACAACGTGTGAGGATAATGTTATACGTATATTTATATATGTAAGAATATAAGTCCATTGAAACATACTGCACAGGGCATGCACACGCTATTATTATTTAAACAAAACATCAATTTTGTACGTTCGATATGAAAAACGCTGTTACAAGTCATAATTCCTTCCCCGACATTCTGCTCTTGATGTACACTACACGACTACTAACATGTCCAGCTTATGAGCAATATATTCTATTTCCGTTATGTTAAGTGTTAAATACCTGTCGGCACTAAGCCGAAAAGCTGCGAGAAATGTGCACCGTAAATAACTTTAAGAAATGGTCAAGTATAATTGAATAATGTATCACCGAGAATACCTACGGCATATATGATAT